AGTTGAGCACAACATTTCCATTGCTAAGTGAGACGTTTATGAAGCGAGTTCTGCCCCCCCATTTTAAGGGCTTTCTTGCCAACCGTTGTTAAGTGAATCACTGCCGTTGTTAAGTTAGTTGCAAATATTGTTTCCCTGAATGCCACGTCCGTTGTAAATTGAGCCCAAAATTTCTGTGGCTAAGTGGAGCATTTGTTAAGTTTTGCCCCATTTTACAAACTTTCATGCTGCGGTTGTTAAGCGAATCATTGCAGTTGTTAAGATAGTAACATTGTCATTAAGTGAATCTGGCTTCCCTGTTGACTTGGCGGTAGGTTGCAAAAAGGGATCCCATGACTGCAAAAGTCATAAATGAGTCAGTTGTCAAGGGTTCGAATTTTGATCCCATGGCCATGAGGAAGCTACAACAGTTGTAGGTATGAAAAATAGTCCTAGCTCATTTATTTCAGTGCCATTGTAACTAAGTGAACAGGTCACTAAGTGAATTGTTTTAAGTCGAGGACTACCTGTAATAACACAAGAGCAAAGGACATGCACTCTGCACATGCTCAGAAAATGCCATATTTTATTATTGTTCACCTATCACGATCCAAAACTGTTAGAAGATTGAGGTTAAACCCCAGTTTATATTAGACGCTGTGTAGGAAAGTCTATGTTTTACTAGCTTGTTCCTAGAGGGATTTCACAATTACACAAGGATTAAAACGCTCCAGGTTCGAATCCTACGCTGAATCGAACCAGGGCTCCATCCTTCTATTTGTTGTGGCCTGCCAGCGGCCAGTGGAGCTGGCGGCAGACTCAGACAGTGAGGGGGCTGGGGAGGAACATGGGCCGGTTCTGGAGGCTGAGGAAAGGGTCGGACGAGGGCTCTGCGTCGGAGGCAGAGATGGGGCCAGGGCCGTCCAACAGTTATCAGCTGCCTTCGGAGTCGGAGATCAGTAAGGCAGAAGAACAGCTGGAGCCTGTTTCCCAATGTGTGCATGCACAGAGCTGCCAGGAGAAGGGAACAGTTAAGGAACAAGGGTCGACTCAGGAGTAAGGACACAGGTGGGCGGTGAGTGGCCCCTCCCATAGGGAATAAAGAGGAGCGAAAGGGGAGGGGTATTTGCAGGAGACAGTTAATTCAATTCATTAGAGTGAAGATCTGTTCCTGACTTCTTGCCAAGTAATTGCTGCTGCACATGGCGTTTGGAAGCTATCGGCCTGGCAATTCTCCAAGCCTGATAAAGGTCTGTGATTGTAAATCACCCTTGAAAGATTGTTTGCCAGGACTTGGCTGGAGGCGGATTCACATTAACCTAAATAAAAGGGGTCTGCTTCATAATCTTGGGAAGCCTAGATCAGAACACATATACAGGAAGGATGAAGATGGCGTAAACTGTCTTTTAAAAATCAGGTCCCCCAAGGTCCGAGAAGTTTGGATGCCTCAGAACGCCACAACACAACGACTGCTTAGTGCGTATCACCACATTTCCGTTTTACAGGCAGGGCAAGGACGGAAGGCAGAAAAGTGAAACCATTTTGGATTTTAGGAACAACAAGAAATCCTTAAAAGAGGAAGGCTGAAGAAGAGATGTCTCCTCTAAGAGATAAATCTCATTGTCTGCCTTTGTGGCTTCTGAGAAGACGCAATTATTCTCTCCTTGTTGCCCTGCAGCCTGAAAAGGATATGAAATTTAAAGATCAAACAAAATTTGGGGTTTTCCCCCAAGACGAGATAAAAAGCAGCAGGCCAAAACCTTTCCTGAATTGAATGCAAGTCCTGGAATCCACATAATTTTCTTGTCGGAAAGACTGGAGAAAAACAAATGCAAGAAAAGGTCGTAAAGTGAGACAAAAAACCAAGACACCTCACTTCAGAAAGGTTACACTTAACAACAGAAATGTTGGATTCAATTGATTCAAATCCCGGCCCTTGGTAACTGGCAGGTACCTGTAGTTCTCAACTTACAACAGCTCACTGAGTGAACGAAGTTACAACGGCACTGAAAAAAGCAACTGAGGACTGTTTTTCACACTTACAACCGTTTGCAAACATCCCCAGGATCACATGATCAAAATTCAGACACTTGGCAATTGATTCATATTTATGACGGTCGCTGGGTCATGTGATCCCCTTTTGCGACCTTCCGACAAACCAAGTCAAGGGGAAGCCGGATTCACTTAACGACGATGTTACTATCTTAACAACTGCAATGATTCGCTTAACAACCGCAGCATGAAAGGTTGCAAAATGGGGCAAAACTTAACAAATGCTCCACTTAGCCACAGAAATTTGGGGCTCGATTTACAACGGACGCGGCATTTAGGGAAACGATATTTGCAACCTTCCTAGCTGTCTTCGGACAATCAAAAGTTAATGGGAGAAGTCAGGTTTATTTAACGATGGTGTGACTCACTTAACAACTGCAGCACTTTGCTTAACAGCAGTGGCAAGAAAAGGTCATAAAATGAGGCACGACTCCCTCAACGACAACCTCGCTTAGCAATGGAAATTGGGCTCCCAATTGTGTAAGTCGAGGACTATCTATGGTCTGTTTTCCAAACTGGGAAATAGGCTGTTTTTCAAATGCAGGCAGTCCTCGACTTACGACCACAATTTGAGCCCAAATTTACGTTGCTAAGCGAGACAGTGGTTCAGTGAGTTTTGCCCCCATTTTACAACCTTTCTTGCCACAGTTGTTAAGTGAATCAGTGCATTTGTTAAGTCGGTTACACTGTTGTTAAGTGAATCGGGCTTCCCCATTGACTTCGCTCATCAGAAGGTCACAAAATGGGATCGCAGGGACACTGCAACCGTCATAAATATGAGTCAGTTGCCAAGCGTCCGAATTTTGATCACGTGACTATGGGGATGCTGGGACTGTTGTGTCTAAAAAAGAGTCATAAGTTACTTTTTTCAGTGCCACTGTAACTTCAAACAGTCACTAAACGAATGATTGTAAGTCGAGAACTACCATTAACCTGCATTTTTCCATATATTTATTTATTCCTTGTCTTGTGCAAAGTCAGTGAGAGTCCTGATGAGAAGGGAAAGTTGCAGTGGGTCCTTTCCATGTTTTTCTCATCATTTCCCCCTCCACCCTCTAGATCAGGGGTCGCCAACCTTGTGGACCTCAGGGACCACCAAACTCATAATTTTAAATCCCACGCACATGAGACCCTGGGAAAATCCCCAAAAAAGTCTGCAGGAAAATTCCCTGCCCCGTTTTCCTACCGATCAACCATTCTTTATTTGGGATCGCAGGAGACGGTCTCCAGCTCCATTCTCGGGGGAGGGAGGGAGAGAGAGACTTTTGGCTTCTTGCAAGGGAAGCAGCAGAAGCAGCAGAAGTCTTTCTTTCTCTCCCCCAAACTCCGCCAGAAATGAGTCTTTGTGTTCCCTCACAGCCTGGATTAATTGCTTTGGGCAGTGCTTTGAGGGTGGCATTTCTCTGCGGACCACCAAAATTTACTTGCGGACCATGAGTGGTCCCTGGCCCACTGGTTGGCAACCATTGCTCTAGAGATGCATTTATTCGGTTTTAAATCCGGGTTCAAATCCCCCTCTTGAGCCAGGATTGGTCACAATGAAGCAAAAGGAAAATCAATGCAATTTTAGGCAAATCATTTCATCGCAACTTAGCACCCCAAAACAAACGAGAGCACAATTTTGTTTGCCTCCCTCATCAAACCGACCTGCAGCTTCTAATATGTCTGGTTGGGGATGATGGGACCCGTAGTTCAGCACAGGGGAAGGGTCAATAGGTGGAAGGTCATGTTTCAGAATTAAACGGGTTAAAATAAACCCAGAGAACATTCACCTGGGACACCTCTTAGAATCATGGTGTTGTAGGCCTGGAAGGAACGCCAAAGATCATCTAGCCCACCCCTTTGCAGAGTACAAGAACAGCCGTTAAATTTATTCATGAGAGGTGGTGATTCAGCTTCTTCCTTAAAAACCCCCAAAACATATGTAGTTAAGACTATTTACAAGATACCTTCAGGATGTTTCCCCCTAATATATCTTACTATCTTATCCAACACTCTTAGGCAAATCCTACCCTGACAAGAGAGCGGGATTGGGCTAGATGACCTCTGATATCCTTTCCCAGCTCAGAAACGGGTTTTGCATGAAGAGATCCTCATTTTTATTGAGAAGGAAGCCCTTGACTTACAAACACAACCGAACCGCCACATTTCTGTTTGCTAAATAAGGCAGTTGTTAAGGGATGTTTTCCCTGTTTTACAACCTTGCTTGACACCGTTGCTAAGTGAATCACTGCCATTGTTAAGTAAAGGACACAGTTGTTTAAAATGAATTTGCTTGTCAGAAGGTCGCAAAAGGCCACCACACAACACGGTCGTAAGTGTGAAAAATAGTCATGTCACTTTTTTCAGTTCCCCTGTAACTTCCGACTTAGGACCCCAATTGAGCCCTGTTGTGACGTGAGAAGATTGTTAAGCAAGTTAGCGATGTTCCTCGCCACTGTTGTTCAGTGAATCACTGCAGTCCTTAAATGAGGACCATGGTGGTTAAGTAGTTTCCCCATGGACTTGTCAGAAGGTCGCAAAAGTGGATCATGGGGACACTGCAACTGTCGTCATAAATGCGAGTCAGCTGTCAAGCCATCCGAATGTAAATCACATGAGGAATGCTACAACGGTCGTAAGTATGAAAAACGGTCCTAAGGCACCTTTTTTTCAGTGTCGTCGTAACTTTGCGCGGCCACTAACAAGAACTTTTGTAAGCCGATTATTACCGTACCTGTGTCTGCATTCCTACCATGCAAAATTTTAACACGGCGACGCATAAACTCTGCCCATGTGCAAAGTTATTATGATTTTTTCTTTTCCCAGTTATCCTACAGAGCCCCCCCCCCCCCTTGCCCACAAAGCGAGCCCCTTCTAACTCCTTTGCAAATCACTGGCCAAGAACCTCCCAGTTTGTCCTGCCGATTTCCAGCGGAAATCTGTCGGCTCTTGTTTTGCATGGAAAGAAAAACAGGCCACCTCGCCTTTTACGAGAGGAAACGCAAGGCGGCCATGGCCGTCACTTCCTCCTTGTGGCCACTCGGGTCAGGTTGAGTCATCAGCTGGTGGCAAACTTCAGGATCAGGATAGGGGATCATACTGGCCATACTGGGAGAGGGGGGAGAGCAAATAGGATGAGCTGGGCCTTTTCCTAATGTATGCCCGCCTCTGGTTTAGAAAATCCTGCCCCGTGCTCATCCCAGCTAAGCAGAACCTGTGAAGAAAGGAGAGCACTTTGCGTATGCTCAGAGGCACGCTTGTCTCAGACCCAGGAGAGCTGGGGGAGGCTTGTGTCTCTAGGAACTGAGGGCAAAGTGAGCCTGGATCTCGAACTGTGTTTTCTCAATCTCTGCCACTTTAAGATGGGCGGATTTCAATTCCCAGAATTCCTCAGCCCGCTATATTTACTGGGGAATTCTGGGAGCCGAAGTCCCCATCCCCCCATCTTAAAGCGGCAGAGGTTGAGAAGCATTGATCTAGATTCTAGAGCAGTGATTCTCAACCTTAGAGACTTTAAAAAATGAACTTCAATTCCCAGAATTCCGCAGTAAGTGTAGCTAGCTAGGGAATTCTGGGAGTTGAAGTCCCCCCATCTTAAATTGGCCGAGGTTGAGAAACACTAATCTCGAGCAGTGATTCTCAACCTTAGAGATTTTAAAATGGACTTCAACTCCCAGAATTCCCCAGTAAGCATAGCTGGCTAGGGAATTCTGGGAGTTGAAGTCCACACAACTTAACGGGGCCGAGTTTGAGAAGCAATAATCTAGAATTTGAGGGAATCGATTAATTTGTGCTGGATCCCACATCCCCACCACCACACACACAGGTTGTTAGCAAGATGGGGAGGAGGTGAGAGATTTTGAATGCTACCCCAACATTTCAAGGGACCCCTTCAAGGAACCCCAGGTAGATCGGAGAAATCTGGAAACTGGTTGGGAACAAAAAGAACGTGAACCTCCCAAATTAGAATTTATTTTAAGGTTTCTGGATGTAGGAAAGTCCAAAACTTCAAAATGGCCTCTTTTTCTGCACAATTTGTAAACAGGACTTTGATTGGACATTTGACATTTGGAACGTCCCACAGGTACCTCCTCTAGGCAGGTGGTTTTACCCAAAAAGAAAAACAAAAAAATCCTAGGTAAATAAATACAAATTATATATATATAATATAAATATAAATAATATAAATATAAATATAAATATAAATATAAATATAAATATAAATAAATACAGGTAGTCCTTGACTTTAAACAGTTCATTAAGTGGCGGTTCGAAATTGCAACAGCACTGAAAAAAAGTGATTTATGAATGATTTTCGCACTTATGCCTGACTGTTCCCTATGGTCATATGATCAAATTTGCTTGGCAACTGGCATGTACTTATGACAGTTTCCGTGTTCTGGAATCATGTGATCACTTTTTGGGACCTTCTGACAGGCAAAATCAATGGGGGAGCCAATTTAACACCGGCAGCGATTCGCTTAATAACAGTAGCAAGGAAGACCATAAAACAGGGCAAAAATGCCTTAAACAAATGTCTCGCTTAGCAACAGAAGTTTCAGTCATAAGTCGAGGACTAAGTGTAAAAAAACTGGCAGGAACAATCCACGTGGTGTTAAAAGAGGAGCAAACAATTCAGAGCCAGCCTGAATTGGGAGCCAACGTCCTGCTATGCTGTGGCCCTTGTAGCCAGACCCGGGTTCAAATCTCAGCAAATCTCTCCCCGAAAGACTTACTGTTGTTGGATTTCAGGTCCCGGTGGATGACGGGCACGATGGCCCCACAGTGAAGGTACTCCATGCCCTGCGCGATCTGGACGGCCCAGTTGATGAGGATGTGTGGCGGGATGCGGCGTCCGGCCAGCATCCGGCTGAGCGGCCCTCCGGCCGCGTACTCCATCACCAAACACAGGTTGGGCCCCTGGAGGCAGACGGCCTTCAGGGCGATGATGTTGGCGTGCTTCAGCATGGCGAAGAGGCGGGCCTCCTGGCGAACGCGCTCGGCCGTGGTGCTGATGTCCTCGTCCGGGTCCTGGCGGGCCGCCTTGACGGCTACCAACTGCCCCCGCCAGCTGCCCCGGTACACCTTCCCAAAGCCGCCCACCCCAATCACCTCCTCCAGCGTCAGGTCCCGAAAGTCGGCCTCAGGGGGGTCCCCGCCTGGCGGTGCGTAGGCCCCCGTCTTGGGCGAGACGTAATTCGAAGGGAAGATGCCCACCCGGTCGTTCAGCTTCCCGGCCCACCAGCCTTCGTCGCCGGAGATGGCCGAGTCCCAGGACAGGACTTCCACCAAGTCCCCTTTCCGCAGGGTCAGCTCGTCCGTGCTGGCGGCCTCGTAGTCAAACAACGCCGTCCAGACCGGGTTGGCGTAAGTGGTGGGAGCCCCGACTCGGGGGCCGGCTGGACCCCAGCCGCCCACCAGAGGGGCTTTCCGGAACATGCTTTTCAGTGGCTCCATGGCGCCCTCCCGGCCTCATCGGGTCCAGGAGCATGGACCTTCCCTCGGCCAGCGGGAGGAAGGGAGACCACGGGGAGAGCTCGGAGCTAGCTCAAACCCCCTCCCATCACGAGGGGAAAAGCGGAGCCACGTCTGCAACCCCCAGCCGGGCTCTACATGCCCTCCGAGGCTTCCCTGCCGCCCGCGGGCGCCGCGATCTCTTCCTCCTCCGTCGGCGCGGGCGGAGGCCCCGGGAAAGATCTCGCCTTCTGTGCTCGGGTTGCTTCCTCGTCGAAGCGTCCCGGATCCGATCCAGCGGTGGGTTTCCCGGACCCCTCCCGAAGAGCCCCGCGGCTGGCAGCGGAGGCAACCCGGGCTCTGGCAAAGCGCGCCCCGACGGCTCGTTCTTTCCCGGCTTTCGCCCCGGGTCGGTGCGGCGGAGCGGTCCCTTTTTTCCCCGCAGAGCGCCGGACGGAGCGAGGCGGGCAAGGCAGGGCGAGGGCGGGTCTCCCCCTGGCCGGGACTGCCCCGCTTTGGAGGCGGGTCTCCCCGGCTGCCTGGCGCTCGGAAGACAAGGCGAGGCTGGCCGTGAGCTGGAACCGAGCCCAGCGCCGCCTTCGCCCGCTTTGCCAACCCGGAGGTGGGGGATGGGGGAGCGAGGCCGCGTCGCTCCGAGCTTGGCCACGCCGATTCCCACGAAGTTGGGGGTGATGGGAGCTGGAGTGCCTCGCCCTGGGGGGATCCTTTGGAAGGATGGAGGCATCTGGAATGCCTGGTGCCCAGGGAGACTTTTCACTTTATTTATTTTTATTTTATTTATTTTTCTTTGCGGGATTTGCTGCTTGCACCGGATAAGGAAACCCGCGTCTTTTGGAACGTCTGAATGGGGCTTGGCTCTTTGTTTCCAGCCGGTCTGAATTAACTCCAGATGTTGTGAATGCTGGAAGTTGTTAAAAAAAGATGTTGGACAGCCACATGTCTGAAATCATATAGGGTCTCCTGATTGAGCAAGGGGTTGGACTAGAAGACCTCCCAAGGCCCCTTCCAACTCTTATTCTGATTGATTGAAATATAACTCCTTTTTTTTTCCAGAAGGGTTTTTAGCTGATGGCAATAGCAATAGCACTTAAGACTTATATAGCGCTTTACAGTGCTTTTACAGCCCTCTCTAAGCAGTTTACAGAGTCAGC